AGTCCCCAGAGTTTCTCTCAGGTTTTCCCATAAGTCCAGATCAGCCCCTCAACACATCATAGGTACATGATTTTCTGTGCTACTCATAAAGATCTCTGGCAAAGACATGCACAAAAGGATGAAGAGCCCCTGTTTTAGAGGCAGGCAGAGCAGCAAAATGGGGAGAAATGATGGCTTTGGAATCAGAAGACCTGGGTTTGAATCCTGGTTCCACCATTTACTATTTGAGTGACCCTGGGCAAATCCCCAAACCTCTCTGGTCCTCACCTTCCTGACATGCAAAATGACAGACTGCTAGCCTTTCTTTTCAGTCTTCTGACCAGCTTACATTGGCCTTTCATCATCCACAACATTCCATCTCTCTTCTTCAGCCTTTTGGCTCTTTCCCACGCTGTCCTTAGGAGGAAGGATGCTTTCTCTCCTTATCTCCACCTCTTAACATCCCTGGTCCCCTTTACACTTCTGCTCAATTGCTACTTCCTCCAGGAGGCTTTCCTAACCCTGAAGCCTTCTCCTCTAAGGTTACCTTCCTATATGTGGTCTCCCCTATTAGAATGTAAGTTCCTTGAGGGCAAGAGATGTCTGTAATTTTTCTTTGTATCTCCCATGATTAGCACAATATACAGTAAGCCATTAATAAATGCTTATTGATTGATTGCCCCTATGAGAGCATCCCTAGAGCCTAAAACAGTACCTAGCACTCAGAGGCACTTATTAATGTCTTTTGATTGCATGAAGCACGTGCTATTATCCCAGTTTTATAGGTAAGGAAATTGAGACTCAGAGGTTCAATGACTTGCCCAGGGTTACACAGCTAGTAAGTCAGGATTCAACCATGTTTCCCAGGCTCAAAGTCCAGCCCCCTAGCCACCATGCCATGTTGACTGATTGCTATTAGCAAATGCCTGGCAAGACAAATTCTGACAGATCTCTTTTAAAAACCACCTTTTAATTGATATCTCTTGCTTTTACATTTCTTCCGTTTCCCAATATTTCCCTCCCCATGTCCCCTCCCAAAGAGATATCCCTTATAACAAAGGACGAAAAAGAAAAAAAGTTTGGCAAAACTAACCAACATACCAACCAAGTCCAACATTACATGCCCAGTTCTATGGTCCCTCAGGTCCAGACCGTTTGAACCTCTTGACTCTTGGACCTTTCCCACCCTAACCTTCATCCCAACATCACTTCTACATCTGCCCTCTCCACTCATCTCAAGGGACCAGATGCTGCTGAAGGAAATTCCTGGCTGGGTCCTGGGCAAAATTTTGCCTTCTATTCCCTCAGATCACCTGCAGGACAATCAATACTTTCTTCCAGGCCTTACTTATTCTCTCTCACATTCTTCAGGGTAGCTCTTCCAAATCTTCTCTTCTCCCTTCAACCCAACCCTCCACAGACATCATTCTCTATCCCACAGAGAAGACTGAGGCCATCATTTGTCATGAGGTTCCATATGTTTAAACTTCATTGACCTTCATCGATGTCACCCATATTCTACTCCTTCCATCCTCTCTCAAAATTGGTCTTTGGAGGCCTCCACCTCTTTTTGTAATGAACACCATTCTCCCTTTTTGTTTAAAAAAATTTTTTTATTCATGCTTTGGGATTTTCATCAATTATTCCTCAATACACTTTGCCTCCCATCCATAAACCTCTTCCATAACAAAAACGTAGTTCAAACAAGCCTACGCCATGACCATTTTTCAGTCATCACCCTCTCTGACCTCTCCAAAGCCCATCTGCCCACTCTCTCTTCCTGGATGCTATCTCCAGTTGGTTTTCCTGACACCGGTCTCTCTTGGTTTTTCTCCTACATGTCTAACTGTTCCTCCTCAGGCAATTTTGCTTGGTCGTCATCCACGTCTATTTATGATCATCCACATTAATTTTAACTCTGGTATCGTCCCTTCCTTGGTTACTGCACCATAGATTTAGGGCAGGAAGTCATTTGGAGATCATTTCATCCAACCTCCCCCAACCCCTCTGAGATGAGCAAACACACCAATAAAGGATGTGTGACTTGCTCAGGGTCACATAGCAACGAAAATAGTAAAGTTGGACTGGTATTCTGGTGAAATACAGTCTGTCCCTGGGTTTGTACCTATATGTATTTAGATAGTTTATATATTCTCTATAGAAGGAATCCAGCACTGGTCATTCTGTAGCAGCAAAGGAATGCTGGGATGTTTCTTTTGAAGAGATACATGCTTTCCAAGAGCCCTGGCCACAAATGAAGGAAGAAGGCGCAGAAATTGGCCACAGGGACCGAAGGGGGTGGGGCAGGACATGACCAAATGAGTGATGAACTGAGCAATGAACTGACAGGCATTTTCAAGGTGCTTACTAAATGCTGGTGCTGTGCTAAATACTGCAAATGCAAAAGAAAATAAGGGGCCACAAAGCGTAGAGGGGATTGGTGGCTAGGGTAGAGTTTTGGTCTGAGAAGCCACAGGGGTGGTGAGTAGATCCATATAGTAGTCATTATGCCCTGTCCTGAGTGATCAGGAAAGTAAACTAAGACATTAGCATTCAACTATCTTCATGCCTTCATGTCTCCTGTTTTGGCAGAGAGATGGTGACTACAGACCCAGAACAAGGTATGCGTTTTCAGACTTGCCTTGTACTTGTAACACAAGGGGGAGAGCCATGAGAAAATGAGATTGAGATTAAAAGAGAGAAAAGAATGCCAATAAAAACTTTTTTATAAAGGAAAAGCCTGGGTCAGTCTTCAGTAGACTCTTCATAAATGTCACTGCCTGACTTCAAGTCAGAGTCAGCCACCAGCAGAATAGTAATGTCTCAAAATAGCCAGCTTCCCATACTCCAGCTACTTCCTCTAGCTGATGGTGATGGTGAAGCACTTTTCAACCAATTTGCCTTCCCCTGCCCCAGGTTTCTAGAAGTGGGCTGAATTGGAGACTGTGCTGGAGGACTTGGCCTGGCAGAGGCTCAGAGGGGCACCAGGCTCTAGAAAGGCCTTCCCTCTGCACCTGGGGGTTATAAAGAGTGACCAGGGATAGCCCAGAGGCTCTGTGGGAGGGGCAGAAATTAGAGACAGCTAGCCTAACTTTGGCTCAAAGAAATGAAGAAAGCCCCAGCTCCGGAAGCTTCAGAGTCAGGACTGGAGCCCATGGCTTCAAGCCTTCCACTGATTGTGGGAACCATAGTAAGGTTACATAGGTGGAAAGAGTCCTTTGGGCTTTGTGGTCATAAGGCTTGGGTTGAAATCCAGACTCTACCTAGATGAGCTAAATGGCAAGCTTCTCTGAACCTTAGTTTCTTGATCTGTAAAAGGAAAGGGTTGGACTAACTAGTACCTAAGGAACCATCAGCTCTAATTCTACGACCCTCTGATGAATGATTAGGTCTCCTCCAGACTCAGTTTCTGCATGTGTGAAATAGGGATCATAATGCCAGTCTTTCCCCTCCTCCAACCCAACCAGGGCTGGCAGTTGAAGATGAAAACAGAGAGTGGAGAGAGGAAGCACTTTAGAGGTTCCCTGGAAGTGGGTTCTTGTTGTCTTCATCATTTGTAATAACAGCAGACCTGTGTCTGGGACAGGGTGTATCTTCGTGTCCTAGGCAGCAGGACGCTAGGTGTGACGCTGGTAGGGAGGAGGAAGGCGGGCAGGAAGGCAGGCAGAGGAAGCCAGAGGCCTAGCCCCACGTGCACACCTGCGTGTCACGCATGGTAAGCGGTTCCGGTGACGGTGACAGCTATTTAGGTGGAAGGAGTTTGGGGTGGGGGAGGGACACGGGGGGGGAGGAGAGGCAAGGAAAGGGTGGAAGCCACCTCTAGTGATGCACGCTCCTCGCCACTCCCCGCCCCTCCCCCACCCCCAGCTCAATGAAAGGGTGGCTTGGCGGTCTGTGTGAGTCCTGGTGTATTGCCATTGAGAGGAATCCTCCTGGAACGGAGGGACAGGAGAGGATGGCTGTAGCTCAGCAACGCCGAGGGTGGGGAGAGCTAATAGGCCCCCCACCCAGTTTCTTGCCCCGATGTGGCCCCTGGGGAGAAGAGAAGAGGGAGCACTCTGGATAGGGACAGGAGAAGGAAGAAGAGGACCATCAGGATGCCTGGCGCTTACTCTGCCGCGTGCCCTACTCTGACCCCGATTAAGCCCCTGTCCCGCTTCGCCCCAGCCAGGCCGTCTCTGTAGGTTCCACGCCGGGGTTATTCTGCCTGGATTTCAGCCGGCGGGGAAGGGGCAGAGGTGTTTCGGGGTCAGAGCTGCGGGTGCGGCGGTGACTGTGGCGTCAGCACGACTCCCGGGCGACCCCACCCCCACCCCCACCCCTTAGCCACCTGTTGTGGGGCTTGTACCCGGGGCTAGGCCATCCGGGGCTCCGGCCTCACCGTGTCCTTTCCTTTTCCGTGCTTCCGTGATCCCAGTCTTCGGATCTCCCTATCTCCGCTCCCCCCCCCCCACGGCTGCCACCGGCCTTCCCTATCCGGCCCGGCCCCGCCCCGCCAAGCTCTGCCGCAGTCCGGCCTCTCATTGTCATTCCGCTCGCGCACACACCGCCCCCTCCGCCTCCGCCTCCTGGGCTCTGCCGCGCCTTGCCCCCCACCTGCCTGCCAGCCTGCCCGCCCGCCAGCCAGCTTGCCTAGGCGCTCGCCAGCTTCTCAGTCGGTTCAGATAGCCCAGAGGCCTGGGGAGATTGAGGGCTGCGAGGGGAGGGCACGGTAGCCCAGCTGCCCATCGCAGGCCCGGATGCTGCATGACTTCATCCTTCCCCCGGTTTTCCTTATGATGTAGGGCTCCCTCGGCCCCGGACTCACTCTGGACTGGAAGAAGGAGGAGGAGGAAGAGGAGGAGGAGGAGGAGAAGAAGGGCTGGCGAGCAGGCGCGGCTCCCAGCTAGACGGCAGGCTGCCTCCCCCCTACCCACCCCCCACCTCCTGGTCCGCGCGCTCGCGCGCGCGCGCGCACACGCACACACACACACACACCACACACTCACGCACACACAGAAGCGCGCGCACATACACGCGCACATACATACGCACACACACGTAGATACACACACACACAGAGGCGCACACACATAGACACACGCAACACACCCCACAGTGGTCCTCGCTCAGTCCTCCTGACAGCCGGACTAGACTGCACCATGTCGGAAATCCTCCCTTACAGCGAGGACAAGATGGGCCGCTTCGGCGCCGACTCGGAGGGCTCAGATCTCTCTTTCAGCTGCCGCCTCCAGGATACCAACTCCTTCTTTGCGGGCAACCAAGCCAAACGGCCCCCTAAGCTGGGCCAGATCGGCAGGGCCAAGAGAGGTAGGGAGGCCTGGGACCCACCCGCCTGACCCAGAAACCAGCCTCCAGCGACGCCCCCCCACCAGTCGGCGGCTCCCCATCCCATCCAACCCTACTCCATCCCCCGGCTGGGCTGCTCCTGCCGCAGCCCCAGGCTGTCTTAGGGATCGGATTCTGGATCTGGGCAAGGGAAGCGGGGTGCGCGAAGGGGTCCCCTAGCAGGCGCCCTTTACCATCTCCCCGGTGCCCCCATTCCCTTCGCCATTCTCTGGGACTCCTGGAGCCCGCCTTGCCTAACTAGAGAGTTGCAGCGATGGGAGGGACAGTGAGCTGAGCCAGGAGGTTGGAAGCCGAGCTGGAATGTTGGAAGCTGGCTGGGGGGCGGGGAGAAGCAGGGTCGGATGCGTTCGGGTCGGAAAGGAGAGGGCAGCCTGGGATGCTGGGGACCCTGGGTCGGAAGCGGGACGCGGAGGGGGCTGATGCAGACTGGCTGACAGGCAGCTGAAGAGAGCGTCGTATAGCTGCAGAGACGGAGAGGGAGGGAGGGAAAGAGGGCTCCGAGGCCGCAGAGTCCGCGCGGGACTGAGGCGCTGTTTGTTCTGCAGTGGTGATCGAGGATGACCGGATAGATGACGTGCTGAAGGGAATGGGGGAGAAGCCGCCGTCGGGAGTGTAGACGCGCCGGCTTGGTCCGCGGGCTCCCGTTCCCGCCTCGGAACGGCCCGGAGCGCAGGACGGCGATGAAGCTGCCGGCGCCCCCGGCCCGGGCTCCCGGCCCAGCCTCAGCTCCAGCGGGCCGGGGCCTCAGGACCCAGCGGCTCCGCCCGGGCCGCCGCCGCTGCTCGCTGCTCCGGAGCTGTCCGCTTCAGCACCAAGGTGGCGGCGCGGCCCGGTCAGGAGCCCCTGTAGCGCCCGGCCCCCGGCCCGCCCCGCTCATGCACTTTAGGACTCGGGCCGTGGCCCCACCCCGCACACAGAAACGGACACAGAAACGCGTGGCGCCCGGTGCCACGGACATGTCATTGTCGCTGCTCATTCCCTGCGCCCTGTCCCGCACGGCCCCTTCCCTCCAGCCGGTTTGCAAGCTAAGCAGCTAGCTGGACACGGGTCCCTCCGTGCCGCCCTCCCCAGGGACGTCTGGCTGCATCTTGCATGCATGAGCTTCCCCTCCGGAGCCCAGCCCCTGCGTCTGGCGGGTCCCCCATCCGCAGCCTCTTTCTAAGGTGTCTGTCTGCCTTAGCACATTTGTATTTTTATATCCGACTCTTTGTTTACTGGATCTTCTCCTAGAGCCCCCTTGGTCTGGGCCACAGATAGTCCGCGCCTGGCGGACGGTCTCAGCCTCAAGGCTTAAGCCCCTTAACCTCGGTACCCACACGGCCAGTCTGTCCAGATGGTCTAGATGAGTTCTGGAGCCCCACCCCCTCCTCAGGAGGCTTCCCATTGTTTTCCACCTTGGATCCCCTGCCTCCCTGTCCCTGGGGAATGCACTGCCTCTGGGAGGATGCCAAAGGGGCCCCAGGGATGCACCACTGTAAATGTCCCCCGTTCCCCCATCTTCACTGTACCAGGAGTTCGTGAATAAACACAGACCTGTGCATAGCCTGGCTGCTGCCTCTGACCGGCTTCGGCAACCCAGCTCTAGGCTCTAGCTTAGTCAGGCACCTGCCCTTCCAGAGCTCAGGCAGATGAAAGGGCGGGGGATGGATCGGTCAGGTAAGGGGGATGCCTCACCGTAATGCCTACCCTGTTTTCAGCCTCCAGGTCTGGTAGGCTCTGAAAGCCACTGCCTTCAAGGCCCCAGGGTCTGAGTCATAGTGAGTCACAGTGGATCCTGGAACACCAAGCTATCTCAGCCTTAGAGCACTGGTTTGGCTTTCCACCCTGTAGCACTCAGAGGCCCCCACCAACCTCATAACAACAGATATCCACAGTTCTTTCTTTAAAAGTTTGCTGAGATTTCCAGACATGATCTTAATTTGAGGCTCACAACAACCCTGTGAAGTAGAGGCTATAGTATTGCCATCTCCATTTTACAGATAAGCATACTGAGGATTGACAGCCAGGAGGTGCCAAAGACCAGATTTAGGCCTGACTCCAAGTCTCCTGAGCTCTGCTCCCTAAGTCACGCTGGAGAGGGCAGAGTTTAAGGAACAGCTTGTGACCCAGGTCACCATCCCCAGGGACTTCACTCTGCTTTTTTCCACGTTGAGGATGCAGAAGTCTTAGCGGAGCATGGGGGCCCCGACCCAGCAGGAAGCCAGTAACTGCTAGAAGGGATACAGTGCGCAGTAGGCCAGCTTGAGAAAGCTGAGAGGGAAGCCCAAGAGACGCAGAGGGAAGACCCCGACTGCTTGATTGGACCCCTCTGGGTTGGTCAGTCAATGTTCATGGGACAGACCCCAATTCACAGTCAGGATTTTTCGTTTCCAAGGCAGCTCAGTTTGGGAAGCACTCAGTCTCCTTGGACCAGAATCAGCCCTTAGAGCTCTATGGCACTGAGGAAGTCTTCCTTGTCAGAGTCTTGAAGGAAGCATGGTGAAGGTGGGGGACTCGGGGGGGCATGCAGCCGGGCCCCCAAGGCTTGCTGTGCTGGACTCAGCTCACGCCCCTTGTGCATGAGGTAGAAATGGAAGTGGAAGCCGCTGCCGTAGGATGCATGGCGAAGAGACCAACCGTAGTCGGGCTGGGCGTAGTGCCGGACACGAAAATGGGGCGCTGCTGCTGTCAGTGAGATGAACCGACCCTGAGGGGTCAGCACTCGGCTCACCTATGAGGGGCGGATGGATGAGCACTCAGTGGGGTCTGGCTTGGGGTCTGTGAAGCTCAGTGGTCCCTCACCATTCCTTCCTCTTCCCTCCCAACTGCCCTGCACAATTTCCCATCACCCCAGTCTCTCACCGAAGAGTCTCTCTGAGGGCAGAGAAGTTGGGTGGGAGGAATGACGGTGACAGACCCGGCTCCCAAGTTAGCCACTCACCAGCCCCAAACTGTTCTGGCTATCAGGACCACTGAGGCCCCCATGAGTCTGACTTTTACAGAACCGACCTGTTGGGCTCCAACCTCTCTCTAATCCTCTTTTTTTTTCCCTGCCTTGGGATGCTGAGGGACCTCCAAGGTCATCACGTCCTACTTCCCCATTTTACAGATGAGGACGCTGAGACCCAGAAAAGGGAAGGGACTGTCTTAAGGTTTCACAGCTGTTCAACAGGAGGGTGAAACCGGAACCCAGGCACGCTGGTTCCTTAGCCAGTGCCCTTTTCCCCTTCCCACTCTACCCCAATCCCTGTTAGACCAGCACTCACTACCTCTACCTAATCTCACCTCACTGAGAACTTCATCCACAGTCTGAATACCCTCAGGGGACACCGTCCAGGGGTCTCGTTCCCCAGCCAGCAGAGCATCCAGGGTACCCTTTTCTAGCACCACATCAAAGGTGCTATTGGGGAAACTGAGGGCTCGGGCATCCATTGTTTCCCAGCGCAACACGGGTACACGGGCATAGCGGTCCCGCATAGCGGCCACCACCACTGGAGAGTAATCCACACTGACCACATTGGGGAAGCCCCCACACAAAAGCTCATAGCTCAGTGCACTGTTCCCACAGCCTACAGGGGAGGAGAAAAAAAAGGAGGGGAGAGGAAATGATTACTAAGTCCTGCTTAGACCCTGGGTCCCTCTCAGCTCTAAGCCTGATCCTTCGGAGGTGGGAGACTGGCCCCCCAAAGGCAGGGGCTTGGCTTGTTCCCTGTCTCTTAGAGAACAGGTTTCCTTTAATCACCATTAGCCTCAGTAACAGGATCAAGAGATCAGCTCTGGGTATCTCCCTAATCCTCTGGTGGCCACCCCAGCCAGCACTGATGGACAGCTTGGAGGGACTCAGGAAGAAAGAGAGTATCTGGTCCAAAAACGTCCTCAGCCTTGCTGGAGAAAGGAAGCCCTGGGTAGGGGTAGGGCCCTTTGACTGAATTTGGATTCAAAGAGCTGCAGGTGAGGACCCAGAGGACCACTTGTGGCCTGCAGGCTGCGGGTTCCCCACTCCTGTCCTCGGGGAAGCATGACAGCTACCTTCTTTCTTCAAGTACTAGAGTGAGAGGGGCGTGCTCTCTAGTAAGTGCTCACTACACAAAAGGCACTGAGCAAGGTGCCAGGGATAAAATGACACAGGTCTTGCCCTCAAGGAGCTTACAATCTACCATATACAAAGCTAAGTAAATACAACGTATGGGGGAGGGGAGAGTAGTAAGAAATGGGGGGATGAAGGGACAGGCTTCACTAGGATCATGGAATCTTGGGTTGGAAAGGGTCTCAGAAGCTTTCCGTCCCACTCCCCCTGAAAACACGATCTCGCTCCCCACAACATCCCTGGCCTCCTGGGGCAGCTCTGATTGTTCCGGAAGCTTCTCCTAAATCTCTGCCTCTCTAGAATATTCTAGTCTGGAACATATACTCAGGTGGGAAAAATCCAGGAACACAAGGGCCACAGAAAATGTAGAGTTATGGGAAGCAGCTAAGACTCAGTGTCAGAAAGACCCAAGTTGGAATCCTGATTCAGCCACTTCCTGGCTGGATGATCCTGGCCAGTCACTTACCTTTTGGTGCCTCAGTTTCCTCATCTGTAGAATGGGGGTTATAACAGCACCTCCCTCTCAAGGCTATTGTGGGGATGAAATGACGTATGTGAAGAGTGTGTAAGCCTTAAAGTGCTATATGGTGATGATGATGATGTTGGTAAGGATGGGCCCAGGAAGGACGAGGAGCCATAATGTTTGAGTATATGAGAATAGGCCTGGACAAAAGGAAATCACAAAACTGGTCCAGAGGCATGATGCTATTGGGGGAGGGAGGCTTCAGCTATCCTGGTTACAGCTGATGAGCACGAGCTCGCCTCAAGCTTACTCTTGCACATGCGTGCTCACACTCGCTCTCTCCTCTCTCTCTCTCTTTCTCTCTCTCTCTCTCTCTCTCTCTCTCTCACACACACACACACACACACACACAAGCAGGAGGGAGGGCAATTTCTTTACTCAAAGTAATGATAACCATGTGTTTCAAAAGGTGGAAGAAATGATGAACAGGCCAGCTATTCTGGACCTGTTTCTGAACAACAAGGAAAACCAGCAAGTCCACGACAGAGAAGAGAAGGAAGGCTGGGCCCAGCCTGCCATGCACCAGCCCCTTGGGAGGAGCAGGTTCTGAAAGACTGGGAAGAAAGCTGGGTAGGATCTAAAGGCCTCCAGGGCTGCAGGCAACACGGGCCCAAGCGGGAGGTAAGTGTTTAAAAGGGGAACTGAAAACAATCAGAAATCACTTGGATGAGGAGGCCAGGAAGCCACTAGAAAAGAGCATTGGGGCTACTCAGAAGACTCATGGGCAAAGTTCGATTTTCTAAGCACCCACAGACACCAGAATAGAAAAAGAGAAGAGAACAGACACTAGGACAGGCAGTGGAGGAGGACCGCCTGAAAAGTCCGGACGTAGGACAGCCCTCTAGGAATCAACAGTCCCAGAAGCACTAAAGCCTAGAGTGAGGCAAGCCTGGCAGTCCACGGACACTTGACAAAACTTCTCTAAAGTGGTGATGGGGATGAGGTGCTAAGGAAAGATGAGGATGAGAAGGCAGAACTACTCAGCCTTCACTTTCCGTCTGATTTCTCTGCCAAGGATAACGAACTTCTGACTAAAAATGAATGAAAAAATAATTAGTTAATAGGCAACCTCAGAGTCCAGAAGCAGTGAGCTCACATCCCATCTCTGACACATGCTAATAATACTAGCCAAGGTCTATGTGCACTTTTAGCATTGGCAAAGCAGTTTACTTATGTTCCCTTGCTTGACAATCTCATAAAGTAGTTGCTATTATTATCCCAATTTCACAAATGAGGAAACAGGCACAGAGAGGCCAAGTGATTTGCCCAGGGTGACCCCGCTAGTAAGCATCTGAGGTAGTAGGTAAGCATCAGATGCTTACTAGCTGGGAGACCTTGGATAAATCACTTCACCTCTCTGTGCCAGGTCCAGTCACTCTATAGACCTAGTTGCTTCATACAGTCCAAGTGCCTCTGGGCAAATCATTTCATCCCTTCCTGCTCTGGCTAGTGAGCCTGTATAGCAGAACAACTGCTGATCTGCATGGCTAGACAGAGTTTCTCTACCCGTTATAATGAAGGAAACAAAAGGTCCAAACCAAAGAGAATGGCTAATAAAGACTCCGAACATAAGATACGTGAGGCTATGACAAAGACGTACGATGAGCTCCAGCGACCAGGCAGGCCCAGACAAAACACACACGAGGGTGCTTGATCACCTGGCAGATGTGGGCTGAGCCACTGAGCCTTCAAATGGCACAGAAGAGAGGCCCCTGACTGGAGAAGAGCAAACATGTTGCAGTTTTCAAAGGTCCAAGAGTCTGGGTGTGAATGGTCTAGGGATATCACGAAAGGGACATACTGGTCATGTGAGACTAGCCCAATTTCCCTCCCTCTTTCCTTTCCTTCCTTGATGCTGTTACTAACTTGGTATATCAGGGAGGGTTATAAACGTCTTTTCAGGAAAAACTAGCCTCACTTGAAAGTGGGTGGGGAGTTATCTCGTTGCTCCTCCCAAGCCTAGCTTTCAGCCTGTAGTACACCCAGTCCACTAAGCTATGCTGGAGAAGGCAGGGTGAAGGAACTTGTGGGTCAGGTGGGGCACACACACTAGCGAGCTGAACTTCTACGGCTGGGGGCCTGGAGAGAAGTCCAGCAATTTTTAGAAATGACAAAGTACAGTGGGTGAGAACGGATCGGGAAACAGAGGCCTGGAAAGGCTGTTGGCCACAGAGATGCAAAGGATCATAAATTCAGAACCAGAAAGAACCTCAGGGGCTATCCAGCCCAATCCCCTCACTTTACAGATAAGAAAACAGAAGCCCTAATCATCAGAGGTCGGAGCTGAACTCGGGTTTCATGGTATCATGCTGCCTCTCCTAAACACAAGGTCCCAAGTCAATTTACCACTATTCCATTTTGTTGTTATTCAGCTGTTTTCAGTCGTGTCCAACTCTTTATGACCTCATTTGGGATTTTCTTGACAAAGATACTGGAGTGGTTTGCCATTTCCTTCTCCAGCTCCTTTTACAGATGAGGAAACTGAGGCAAATAGGGTTAAGTGACTGGCCCAGGGTCACACAGCTAGGAAGTGTCTGAGACCAGATTTGAATTTAGGAAAGAATTTCCCTGCCTCCAGGCATGGCATACTATCCACTGCACTACTTAGCTTTCTTATTTCACAGATGAGGAAACTGAGGCTCAGTGAGGTTGTGACTTGCCCAGGGTCACTCAGCTAGGAAGTATCTGAGGTAAGACTCACACCCAGTCCACGACAGAGGACTTCCTTACTCCAAGACCAAGACACTGTACGCTCAGTACACCAAACAGCCTTCATAAATAACAACAGGCTGTTTCATGAGGCAGTGATTTCCCTGTCACTGGGAGTATGCAAGTCAAAGTTGGATGACCTCTTTTCAAGAATCTTGTAGTGGGGATATCTATTCAGACACAGCTTGGACCAGGTGACCTCTGACTTTCCTTCCAAGTGGTTGGGCCTCCGGATTAAACATCACCCCTGCTTTCAACAGATCTTCCTTTGGCCTCCTCTAGACTTTGGACCTCGCCATGCTGGTCTCCCTCTTCAGGACAGTCTTGAGCTTGTCCACACCCTTCCTACGCTGGGAGGCCCACAACTGAACATAGCTAGCTCTCCACCTGAGGCCCAGCTCTCATTTCCCTTAAAGACACTGGGTCAGTGGGGATGGCCTCCCCTGCTTGGGGTAGGGTCCGATGGGTGTCTGCTTCTGCCAGTGGAGCTCCCTAGGGCCTGACCTGAGGTAGATTACAATTTTTTTAACTGCCAGTACTTGGGGAGGTTCAGCCCAAATCCTTAGCTTCCCTCCCCGTCCCCATCCCCAAACAAGCCCCTTAGATAGAACTATGCCCCTTCCTCCTCTCCCTCCCTTCCAGACCACTTCTTAGTCCTTCTCACTTCCCTGATACCCCTCAGCCCCTCCTTCCCTGACTCCCCCAAGCACCCTTCCTCACCGACCTCCTATAACCCCTCTTCCTCCCTGACCCCCCAAAACTTCCCTTACTACCTGACCCCTCAGTTCCCCTGTTTGTTCTTGTTCAGCCGTTTTCAGTCTATCTGACTTTCTATCTCCATTTGGGGTTTTCTTGGCAAAGATACTAGAGTGATTTGACATTTCCTTCTGCAGCTTCTTTTACAGATGAGGAAACTGAGACAACAGGCTTAAGTGATTTGCCCAGGGTCACACAGTGTCTGAGGTCACATCTGAACTTGGGTCTTCCAGGCCCAGTGCTCTATCCACTGGCTACCTAGCTGACCCCCTCAAAGCTCCCTTACTCCCTCCCTTTCCCTGTCCCCTTCTTATTCCCCCCCACCCCCCCCCCCCCCCCCGCTTCAACTCCACCCCTTAGCCTCCAAGCCGACCCCCATCTAATTTAGCCCTCTCTTAGCCCCTTACCCCCATACATCACCCTAGATTTAACTAAGCCCTGCCCCTTCTGATCCACTTGCCAATCTTAATTCCCTTAGCCCCGCCCTCCACTCTTTCGCACCCCCTAGTCATTTTTACTTAACCCAACCCATCCAGTTATTTCCCTTAGCCCCGCCCCACTCGCTCAGCCCGCCCCAACCCTGCTTGGCCCCGCCCCTTCAGAGAATCTATTAATTCCATTAACCCGGCCCCCTAGTTTACATGATCACCGCCCACTCCCCCGCCCCCACCCGCCAGCCTGGGAGCCGCACGGGGACATACCCAGCACTAGGATCCGGTCCTCCCGCTGCAGCTCTGGCTCCAAGAGGTCCCGGAAGGCCTCGAAGTCGCCGAACCACTCGTAGGGGGCGGTGTCCAGCGCGTGCCGGTAGCGCTCGTCCCAGTACTGGGCCTCCCGGTACTCGGAGTTCTTCTTGGGGAGCGGCGGCGAAGAAGCCATGCTACGGCTGGGGTGCGGTCAGGGGAACTGGAGTGGGTAGTGGCCAATTGGAGTGGAGAGGAGGCGGGGCCTAAGCCGAGCCTCAGTCAATTGGAGTCAGAGATGGAGTTCCCGGGGCGGTGCTTCTCTGATTGGGGAGGAGCCTAACCCAAAGGCTGTCTATTGGAGTTTGGGGCCTAGAGCCACCGCCTCCAGCTTCCGCCTACCCCCGACGCTTATTCATCAGAAACACGTGGAACTTCCGCACTGGAAAAGGTGCTACGAGCACAACCTGCCGGCTTGGAAACCGCTTTCTTTGCCCCCTGCTACCGCTTCCAGCCGAGCACCGCCCTTCCCTAGAAAGTGACACGTACTTAAAACCAGAGAAATGCAGGTGTTGGCATTGGAGCCGCACGGCGGCCTTCAGAGTTAGTCAGCTGGCGCTGGTTTAGACTTTAGATTTTTTTCTATTATAAAAATGAGCATAAACAACCCTTGCCCTCCAGATACATTCTAATCGAAGGAGAAATATGCAAGAACTACGTACAAACAAGATCTAGCATTGCCTCTGCTACTTACTAACTGTGTGACCCTGGTAAAGTTCCTTTCTCTGCGCTTCAGTTTTCTCTTATGTAAATTGAAGGGCATTCATTCAGCAAAGCATCCATTAAGCATTTTTGCCTGGCACTTAGTAAGCACTTAATACGTGACCTCCCTGTGTATCTACCTACTGACTTACCTGTATACCTAACGATTTAGATCTATCATTATTTATTTATCTAACCTGTCTTTTGTCTACCTACCTATTTTTCTAGCCACTTACCTATCTAGTCTAGCTATCTGCATTATCTCTATCTATCTAGTCAGTCTGTATTACCCACCCACTCTCATCTCTGTCATCTCATCTATCTATTCACCATGTCTATCAATATGTTTCGGTTTGGGGTACTGGGAACCCCAACATGTAAGGGTACAGAGAGAGTCTAGTCTGCCTGGAAAGAATTCAACCACTCAAGTTTTCTTTCAATCAAAGTATCGAGGTTTATTATAATGCCAGTAGGAGTGGGCAGAGATTCCCAGTGAGTCTTTGACTTAATAGGGGTGAGATTGATACTTATATACAAAAAAAGACTGTGAGAAGATCTGGTTAGGATTAAGGAGTGGTAAGTAGCCTAGAGCGGGCCAGTTGCAGACAATGAAAGGGTCTAGATGGGATTTAAGGAGTATCAAGCCAGCTAATTAAGTAGTTAGGGTGGGCCATATGCCTTAGGTGAGATGCCAGTGATCTGGGCTGCTTTTAAAGACACGGTCTTTTCCTTTTAGGGGTCCAGGTCTCATCACCCCATCACATCCATCCATCTATCTCATGCCAGGCCCTTCACTAAACACTAGGGATACAAAGCAGTTCAATCCTTTAAAAAAAGCTCCTACGACACCCAGAAGACTGCAGAATCCCACTCCTGCTTCCCTATGGGAATGACCCTATGGCCTGGGCCACCTGTGTTCAGGATTTGGACTACAGTTTCTAATGTATCCACACCTTTTGCTTCGTCACCCATCATCACAGGACTTTGAGGTAAGTAAAAATGGTGACGTGGTATTTGACTTGTGGTTAGTTAGATTTAATGGAGACAGAGTTACACAAAGGTTTGCCTCGATCTTTCTTCCACGGTCATCACTGTCCAATGGCAGGACTCACACAGAGCGTGACACATGGTGGTGAGAATTGATACGAGGACACTGTCAAGGTCTCTCTGAAGAACTGTGGAATTGATTGTGTGACATGGGAGACACCGGCACAGGGCCACCCGGCATGGCGTGCCCTCATCAGGTACTGTGCTCTATGAGCAAAGCAGAATTGAAGAAGCTCAAAAGAAATGCAAGACGCGCAAATTTAGAGAATCTACCTCAAATATTCACATGGACTATTTGTACCTGACCTGTGGCAGAGCATTTTCTGCATAGGTCTGATCAGCCACAGTCGGCCCCATTATAACTGGACTCTAACATAGTGATATCATTTTCATCTTCCAGAAGGGATACAAAGTAAAAGCAAAAACCTTCCCGGTCCTCAAGGAACTTGCATTCTAATGGAGCCAGGGAAACCTAAGATGCCCAAAGATGCATTGTAATCTCGGGTGTCCAAAAGCAAAAATGACAGCTTCTGCGCTTGAGTGGTTTTCTTTCTCCGAAGAGAAACACCAGGTAGCCAGGTGCCACCAGATAAATAACAGATGCCCTTCAGACAGCGGGTCAGGGCGGATGGCAGGGATGTACTAAATACTGAATAGAGGGGTCTTTGCATGTCATTTTGTCCAAAGGCTGGTTTGTGGAGGAATGAGGGCTCTGAGAGAGGCTGAAGGGTCGCCCAAGGTCACAGACCTGGCCCAGGGAAGGCAGAGCCTCGCCTTGAACCCAGATCCACCCCGCCCTCCACGAGTGAACTCGGTGAAGGCTCAGCGGGCGGAGCTCGGCCTGTGGCGCAGGCGCACTCAAGGGGCACTCGGGACCTCGAAGCGGGCCGGCTCTGGTTTCCGGCGGCAGGGGAGGACCGGCTTAGGCGGCGCGCCGCGAAGATGGCGGCTGGGCTTCGGAAGCGGGGCCCGGCCGGGACTGGGGCTGGCTCCGGCGCGCGCTGGGGGCTGGGCCTGGGGCCGGCGCCGTTGAAGCGGGCGTGGCAGGAGCGGCGGCTGCTGCTGCTGGAGCCACGCTACACGCCTCTCGTGGCCGCCTGCCTCTGCTTGGCGGAGGTGGGCATCAACCACTGGGTCATACGCAGGGTGGCCTGTGAGTGACGGGCGGGGAGGGGCGGGGCCTGGGCGGAGGGGCGGGGCCTGAAGCTGGGCTGAAGCCTAAGATTGGAAGGGCAGGGGCTCGGGGGCGGGGCCCGGGATGGAGGGGCGGGGCTGAAGCCTGAGATTGGGGAGGGCAGGGGTTTGGGGCTTGAGGAAAAGGGGGAGGGGCAGGGCCAAGGCCTGTTGGAAGATTCTTAGGCTAAGAATTTAGAGCCAGGGGGTCCTGGAGAGATCTGGGTTCAAACTTCGACTCTTAACACTCTGAGCCTCAGTTTCTCACATCTTCAAAATGGAGTCAGTCATGGTCTCTCAGCCTCCATATGGGTAACGTGTCTTGTCAGCCCTAAAGGACTGGAGAAATGAATCCTATTGAAAGACAGATGAGGAAACTGAGGCTGTGGAGGCTAAGTGGTTTGCCTGAGGTCGCAGAGGTGCTAAGTAGCACAGTCCAGGCCCTCTGGCCTGGGTGGGGGAGATTCTCAGGCTCCTCAGGAGGAAAATAGGGGGCTGGAGACCCCAGGATGGAGATGCAGCCAGGCTCTGACAGAGCAGGAGGATGGTGGGGAGGGGGCCTCAGTCGCCTCCAGGTAGGACGCACTCTCCTGGTTTGCTCTAGGAGGTCTTTCTAAAGGCACAATGGTTTAGTGTGGCACACTAGTTTCTGAAACACATTTGCCTTTTTCCCATCACTTTGTACTTAGGGCAGTTTAGACCAGGAGTCAGTCCCTTCCCCTGCTCCTCTCTGGGCCGCAGTTTCTTATCCTGTAAAATGGAAGGGGTTGTGCCAGACTCTAGCCCCTGTCTCCTCCAGATCTGATTTTATGAGCTTCCCTCTCCCCTGTTCTCCCAGACACAGAAATTGACTGGAAAGCCTACATGTCTGAGGTGGAAGGAGTCATCAATGGCACCTATGACTATACTCAGCTCAGAGGCGACACCGGGCCCCTCGTGTGAGTCTGGGGCTGGTGGGGGCTGGGGTGGGGAGAGGAGAGTTCGGCCACAGCCGGCACTCACCAGACCTGATCTGTCCCTTCCCCCCAGCTACCCCGCAGGCTTTGTCTACATCTTCATGGGGCTGTACTATGTCACGAGCCGAGGCACCAACATCCGTCTGGCCCAGCACATCTTCCTGGGCCTCTACCTCGCTACGCTGCTGCTGGTCTTCCGGATCTACAGCCAGACGAGGAGGGTGAGGCCCCCTCCCTCGATCTGAGGCGGCCGAGGATTCTCAAGGGAGGCTTGGGGAGTTCCTCCTTTGCTAGGAAAGCTGCTGAGCTGGCACCATCTTCCCAAAATGCCTGCACACTCACACACCTCTCACACGCTCTCACTCACACACGTGTGTCATTGGCTTCTGACCGCAGCCCTTTGAGGAGGGGCGGTGCTGGGGGGCCCTTATTTTCTAGAGGGCAGGCACCTGCCCTGAGGTCGCCCAGCTGATACGTGCTGGGAAGGGCTCTGGGATCCTGACCCTCTTCCTGGCCCCCCTCCAGGTTCCTCCGTTTGTTTTCCTCTTCATGTGCTGCGCCTCGTACCGGGTCCACTCCATCTTCGTGCTGCGGCTCTTCAATGACCCAGTGGCCATGGCGCTGCTCTTCCTCAGTATTAACCTCCTGCTGTCCCAGCGCTGGGGCTGGGCATGTGGCTGTTTCAGGTCCAAACTTTCTATCCCTGGCAGAGCCCTGCCCACCTTCCCAGTCCCCTCGCCAGCTTCCCCGTCCTCCTTCAGGAGAGGGGAAGAGAGACCAGCCGCTTAGGGGGCTTAGAGCCTGCAAGCATGTTCCCAAGGCAGCGTTAAGCTTACTGGACACCCTCCCCTCCTCCCTGCCCTTCCTGCCGTCTCTTTCCCATCATCTCCCATGGGCCTCCGGTTGGGTAGGGATTAAGCCTCCTTCTAGTCCTTCCCTGTGTATGTGGGGTGGTGGGCTCTGTAACAGCGTCCATGGGAGTTTATAGGGAAAGGGGCCTCAGCCATCAGTCCATGGGGGAGGCCTCAGGGGCCCTGATGCTGACTCTGATCTCTTCTCCCTGTAAATGGGCCCAGCCTGGCTGTGTCGGTGAAGATGAATGTGCTGCTCTTTGCCCCAGGACTACTCTTTCTCCTTCTTTCTCAGTTTGGCCTCCGTGGGGCCCTTCCCAAGTTGGGCATCTGTGCCCTGTTGCAGGTACACCACCCATTCTCCTCTCAATGACAGTAGCGCCTCCCAGTGTTCCCTCCCTTCTACCTCCCCGTTCTTCTAACAGGCATTCCCTTCTGGCCTCGTGGCCTCCCCTAGACCAGCTACCATCCCGCTCCATGCCTAACAGTGGGTGATCTGGAGCCACCTTTGGCAGAGCCCCCGCTGCCCCTCAGGGGGCCACAGCAGCACTCTCTCCGTCCCCAGGTTGTCCTGGGCCTGCCGTTCCTCCTGGAGAACCCAGCTGGCTACTTGTCCCGTTCTTTTGACCTGGGCCGGCAATTCCTGTTCCGCTGGACAGTGAACTGGAGATTCCTACCCGAAGCGCTCTTCCTGAATCGGGCCTTCCATCTGGCACTGCTGGCCGCTCACCTGAGTCTGCTCGCGCTCTTTGCCTTCTGCAGGTGGCCCAGGTGTGTGAGGGGCTGGGCTGGAGCCCGCAGGCTTCCCTTTGGGGGTGGGATCACCATTGGGGGTGAAGGAGGAGGGGGATGGTCAAGTCGATCTTCCCTCCCCAGGTCAGGAGGAAGCCTCCTGTCCCTCCTGAAGGACCCCTCGAAGAGGAAACCCCCTGCCCGGCCCCTCACCGCCAATCATATCCTTTGGCCTGTGGGCAGCCAGGGTGGGACTCAGGGGAGGGGGCAGGTGTGGCATCCCTCGCGCCTTTGGCCTTGACCACCCGCACAGATTGTCTCGGTGCTCTTCACATCCAACTTCATCGGCGTCTGCTTCAGCCGCTCGCTCCACTACCAGTTCTATGTCTGGTACTTCCACACGCTGCCCTACCTCCTGTGGGCGACGCCCTCCCGCTGGCTCACGCACCTGCTCAGGTAGGCCCCCACCCAACATGGGAGGGCTGGTGGGGGGTAGCCCAGGGGGTGCCCACCTTCCTCCCTCTGCTTCTCCTCCTCCCCAGGTTACTGGTGCTCGGCCTCATTGAACTGTCCTGGAACACCTACCCCTCCACGCCCTGCAGCTCCATGGCCTTGCACCTGTGCCATGCTGTCATTTTGCTGCAGCTGTGGCTGGGCTCCAAGGCCCTCCCCGAGACCTCCCATCCCCTTCAGCCCAGCAAGAAGGCCCCGTGAGCTCCTGCCACTGAAGGTTCCTGTGACCTCTGCCTCGTGGCCCCTACCTTGGACCCTGGGGGTCCCTGTAAAGCCATCTCCCCAATAAACCTGGCTGAGCCCCAGCCCTGTGCTGCCTTCCTCCTGCTCTGTCAGCCTCCCCTCGGATACCTGATCCCCGGCTGAGCCCACACCTTCCAAAGTCAGCAGGCCAGCCATTAAGGAAACGTGTGTGCATGTGGTCCTCAGAGGCACTTTATTACAGCCGCCATAGAGGGTGGAGACCTGTTGTTTCCTCTGGCCACCCTCTGTGAACAGCCCCCTAGGCCCTGGCCCAGGCCCCAAGGGGCAGCTTCTGTCTTAAAGGAAAAGAAGTGGATGAGGAGAGGAGGAGAGCAGGCACTTTCTGGAGTGGACGGGTGGGGGGGGTGAGAGGCCAGGGCTGGGCAGGGGCCCCTCAGAGGGCCGCTGGCACTTGGAGGACCCCAGCCCAGGCTCGACCCTCACACGTTGGCAGGGCTGTAGCAGAGCAGGCGTAGTTGGAGATTCTGGTCCCAGTGGCGGAGGAGCAGGAAGAGGCCTCGGGCAGCGGCCTTAAGGGCGGCCAGGTCCAGCCGGTCGGGCAGGTGCTGGGCCCTCAGCCAGCCATCCGCCTTGGCTGCCACCAGCTCCCACTCCCCAAAGGTGCCTGTGCAGCGGTGCTCCAGCCAGGCCAAGGCGACGGCCGTGGCCCAGCTCCGGCCCCGCAGGTCAGGGCCCCCAGTGCCCTCGGCACCCTCCGAGGCTTCCGTGTCAGACCCGTGCCCACTGTCCACCTGGCCCGGTCCCTCCGAGCCTGTGCTGGGGGATTGACTGCCTGAAGCCGTCACCCCATCCCCAGAGCCCGGGCCCAGGAGAGCCCACGGTGAGGAGGCAGAGGCCGGGCTGAGGGTGGCCCGGTGCGCCGGGAAGGGCGAGGCCCTGCATAGCCTCTCATGGGGGATCTGCACTGCCACACAGAAGGGGCTGTCCAGGCGGAAGGAGCCAGCAGCCTCCTGCAGCCTCACCTGCAAGGAGGAAGGGCAGGCTCAGGTGAGGGATGGCCCAGCTCTGCCCCACCCCACCAAGTTTTCACCATCCTCCACCGTGCCCTCACCAAGGGGAGATAGTCATGGTCACTGCTGCTCCTGTCGCCATCCCTAGCCAGGCCTCGGTCAGGTTCTGGGTTATAGAGCCTTCGGCCAGAACCGAACATCCTCCTGCTGAGCCTGGGGGAAGGAAAGGCAGTGGTCCCCACTACACACCTCCTGCTGGGCTGGGGGCCCCCAGCCCCGGCTTCACCCTGGCTTGTACCTTGAACCAGCGCTGTTCTCAGAGTCCTGGGAGCTGGCCGAGGAATTGTCCGCAAGCCCTGTAATGGACCGACAGATAAACCACCAGGCCCCCCAGGCCCCCAGTGGCTGTCCCACTTAGCCAGAGCTTACCCTCAGGGTGACGGGGGCCTTCCAGAGAGTCTGCAGAAGATGCGGGCCTTGGGACTGGCAGCACTGACTCTAGAGACACGACAGGCCCCAAGAGCCCTTGTAGTGTGGGCCAGGGTGGTTTGGCCCGAGTGCAAACAAGCTTGTGGAGGGCCTACCTGAGCGGTGAATCTGGAGCGCCGCAGGGAGGGTCTCACGGGTGACGGCGTCCACAGCCACTGGGTAGGTGAACAGGGAGGCTGCTGCACTAGCTTTGCTCGTCTGGAGGGCCCTGAGCCGGAAGCGGCGGATGGGAGCTACAGGGCGCAGGACCAGGAGGTCAGAGGGGCTGGAAGCCCGGCCCCAGCGGCCTTTCTGCCTCCCTCAAGATGCAGGGGGCCCTCCCTCCTGTGCTCACCGGGCTCCGCCCCCTGCAGGGCCAGCTGCTCATTGTCCCGGACCACAGAGGCTGCGGTCAGCCGGTGCAGGGTTTGGTCCCAGGCGTCTCCCCTCTCGGGAGGTGCTGCCAGAGAGTCCTCTGGGCTCCCCAGGAATGGCTCCAAGCCAGCACCCACCTCCCAGCACACGGGCTGCCCGTCCTGCAGTGCTCGGACTGCCACGTGACACCGTGGAGGTTGGGGCAGGGGTGGAGGGGGGGGGCCTGTGGGGAAGGGGGTGGCCTCTTCTGCAGATGGCGAGGGGGCAAACATGAAGGGGGGCTCCACCAACATGTCCCAGTCCAGGGGTGTTGGGGAGAGCAGGTTTCCTACATGGGGGATGAAGGCAGGAGAGGAGAGATCATGGCATTTAGAGCTGGAAGATGTTTAAAATCCCCAAGCCAACTGAAGCTTGGCAACATGATGAAGCGACTTCCCCAAGGTCCCCCAGTAGCATGGTGGGGTCTTTATGTTCCATCTCATGCTCTTCCAGCCTGGTCAGTTTTCCTCTTATTGGATCCCCTTTTCAGGGGGTCGGGCGAGCCCCCACACACCCCGTTTCTTACCTGAGTCATCCAGACTTCTGCAAAGCTGTTGCCTTTGCTCTTGGTTCGGTTTATCTAACTGTCCACCCAGGGACTGGTTCCTTCGGGGGTGGAGAACAGAGTCCTTTCCACCCTGGGGGGTGGAGAGGCTGCGTCCTGCGAAAGCCGCTTTGGGAAGCCGGCCTGGCATCTCTAGGGCTAGGGATGGAGCCTGCAAAAGACGAGGTGATTGCTTGGCACCGATGCAGGGGGATCCCTCCCTGCCTCCTTCCTACCCTGCCCTGGCTCTCGCCTCACCGTGAACGGGGCCGACAGGGGCAGCGGGCAGGAGTGACTGGTGGCAGCGGCAGCAGCAGAGTCTCCCCAAGCCAGGCTTCGGTGGCCCTGCTGAGAAGGGAGAACTGGGGGGGCACTGTTCTCAGGGAAGCCAGGGCCCCAGGATCCTGGGGACTCACTGCTGCCCGGGGAGCCAGGGCCTGGCTCTGGGCTGGTGGAACATCGTGTTAGGACATACTGCTCACGGATGTAGGAAGAATGAAATATCCGCCGCCAGATTGCTGCGTCTGAAGGAGGGTCTGGGCCGGGGTCAGTGATGGGATCTGTAGGGGGATCAGCACCTGCTGGGAATGTGGAAGAGTAGGCCCCCAGCTTCTCCTTCCCTATCCCCTGTGGGCCTTCCCACCCACACTCACTCCTCTCTGAGTCCCCCAGGCCATCGTGGCTGGAGTGCCCAGGAGATGCCATGAGGGTCTCTGGGGGGTCTGTGGCCCCTGTTGGTTCAGTGCCGTGGCTGGTGGCCGATGGCTCCTCTGGAGATGGGAAGACAGAACCCTCCGCGCTCCTCCATCCGTGCTCTTGACCCTGAGAAAGGAGCAAGCACCTTCAGCTTCCACACCGTGAGCCTTGAATGCCACGTGAGGGAGGTCAAGGCTGGCAATCCCACTGAGATGGAGCCGCAAGAAGTGGCTGAGGGGGCTGCTGGAGAGCTGCTAGCTTGCGTGTCACACCCCTCACCCAGCCCGGTGCTTGTGTATCCTTTGTTCCCTTGGTAGAGTGTAAGCTCCTCGAGGGCACATAGTAGGTGCTCGATAAATGCTAGTTGCCTGAGATGGGCACTCCAACCAGATCCTGGCCCCAGGCCCCTGGTTTAGTAGGCTATGGCCCAGTTCCCCCATCTCTCCTCTGCGCCCAGAGCTTGTGATTACCGCAGCTGGTCGAGGCCGGAAGCTTTCCACACGGAAGAGGGAGCAGTAGCCAATCAGCTGGTCTCCTGGGTAGAGCGTAGGGATCTCCCGGGGAGTCAGCATCGCCTCTACGGTATCAGGCATAAACCAGTCCACTGAAATGTCACTCAGAGCGGGCTCCAGGGCAGTCCGAAGTGCCCGCACTAGCTGCAGAGACCCAGGGAGGAAGATGCACCACTAAGTGAGGGTGGCTCGTGGCCCTCCACTCATCCTGGGCCCTTGGGGGAGAGCTAGGTTCACAGGGGTAAGGGTGACAAAGGGGCGGCTGGGGCAGGAGAGTAGAGTCCCCTCCCCTCAAGCTCACCGTGGGCTGCAACCTCTCTCCAGGGTCCAGAAAGTAAGCACGACCCCGGCTGAGGGCAGACAGACCCCGGAGCAGCTGGCGGCAGGCAGGGTACAGCCCAAAGGAGAAGCACCTGCAGGTTGGACAGGAGAAGGGCTGACCCAAGTGACCCCAGCCCAGTGGGCTGCTCAGGAACCCTCTGCCCAAGATGCTTACCTGGCCATGCCCCCGTGGTGTCTCACAAACTCCAGAGTGTGGTGGGTGGCGGAAGCAGCAGGAGCTGCAGCAGTAAGCAGGAACAGCTGGCGGGGGTGGCCTCGTTGCCCTGGCTGCTCTAGGGCCCAGCGAAGCCCAGCCAGCACGTCAGGCTTCTCCCGTCCTGTCCGCAGTGCCTCGATGCCCTCACAGGCCAACTGCACAGTGTGCTAGGAGAGAGAAGAGAGGAGGGCTGGGCCGGTGTCTCTGCAAGCTGGAGCCCTGGGCTCCTGTCCCATCTCAACTGTGTGAGTTTGGCCAGTCACTGCAGAGGTAGTGGGTGGGGAGGGAGGGGGTAGACGGTCTCTATACATTGAGAGCTGAAAGGGACCTCCACCACCCAGGTAGTCCAACCTCATTTTATGAGATGAGGAAACGGGACAAGGGAGGTTGTTAGCTGCTAAAGGTCTCGAAGCATCAGAGGCATGAATTACTCAGCCCTGGGCGGAGAGCCCACCAAAGGCCCCCGGGATTCCCTGTTTGGAGGATTCAGGCAGTGAATCCAGTTCTAGCAGGGAGGGTGGGACTCACGTCGCTGCAGGGTTGGCTACTGGGGAAGATCGGGCGCACGCAGGAGCCAAACGTAGCAATGTTGATGAGCGTCTGAGGTGGGAGAGACTTCACTGCAAGGAGCAGGGCTTCCTGAGGAGCAGTTGGGGGAAGTGAGGGCCACCGCAGGCCACCCGACATGAAGGTGGTGGTGGTCTGGGAGCAGGGGGCATTGAGCCGCTCGGCTGGGGCGGGAAGGTAGGACAAAACCCATCATGCCCACCCCCACCCCCACCCCTACTGGCCTTGTAAGTGACCCCTTGGCTGTC